ATCTATTCGTTTAAATTCTATTATCCTTTATAAACAATACATATGTCATTTCATTAGTCACATTACATATGAATATAGTGAATTACATGGATACATGAAAATCATTGTGAACTTTCCCTCCCTCCCTCCCCCCCAGAAAAAACAATAGGAATGTTCTTAGTTAAAATGGTTTTATCAAGTCATATATATGCATATATTGTCGATCGATTTTGTAATAACCCATTGAATGATACATTAAAAATAATAATAATATTTAACTACAAGTTAGTTATGTAATTTTTTAGAAGTAAACTGTTAAAAGTAGTCATATAAAATTAAGAAATATCTTTGTTAAGTCATATGTCTGTTATCAATAACATTATGATACACTGTACTTCAAATAGCTGTGTGTGTGTGTGTGATATAGAAAGATATGCTTTCGTAATACTGGCTAGTATTGTGGTATGTGCTACTGATATCGATAGATATAAGTAGTATATATCTTTAATCGAAAGTGAAATGCTTGAAGGCAGAAGATTAAGAAGATCAAACAACAGAGTATGAGAACAAATAATAATTGGTATGGAAACAAAAGAACAATGAAGTTTGAAACGATTGATCAACATTTTGCAGAAAGAAGAGTCAAGTTTGAAACAAGTGACTGAGATTTTGCAAATAGTTTTTTTTAGATTTTAATAAGATACTTTGTAATATTGTATTTAAATACATTTGATTGTTCCTATTTATGTTCTCGTTCATTACAGTATGATATATAAAATTGACTTTTCTTTGTTGTATTAAACTAGTAACTGAATACATATATATATAAGTAGTTGTATTACTTGAAAATGTTAACTAATTAAAGTAAGAATGTGGACAGAAAATCTCGTAAATTAAGACACTACATGTACTGGTTGCAGTTGATCATTTACTTACACTGTTAAGAAATCACTGATATATTCTAAGTGTATATGTAATATGATAATCACCATTGAAGTTTCATGAATCCCTGTTGTCATGTGTGCATTTTGAAAGAATGTATAAATCTTCCTCTTTTTAATTACGAATTTTAGTATATTTGAATTTCGACTAAATGTTATATTTACAAGTTAGATTCTTGATATATATATATATATATATATATATATTCTCCTCTTACTGAGTTTCTTAGAACTTCCTCATGTTCATCCATGAACCATTCTTGCACTAATAATGAAATTTAGGATGTATATTTTGTCCTATTTAAACCTTAGCAACTAAATATTCCTATTGAAACTCAAATATAGTGCTTGAAAATAATACTTAGAAATTATTAAAGTTTGATCTAATACATAAATGGTAAGTATACCTATATACATATACCTGCTGAGTGGTCTAATGGTTAAGCGCTCCCGCGGGCGACACTTGTATGTCATGGGTTCGAATCTAGCGAGGTGGGGTTGTGGATGCGCACTGATAAGGAGTCCCGTAATAGAACGAAACAGACGTTCAGTGCTTCCAGATTATCAATGATGCCGTAGCATTAATCAAACAGAAGACAGCTTCTTAATATGCTTTTTTTTTTGATTACATAATCGAAAACAGTAAACATATAAAGAATAATCCAATTAACGAATCATTTCAATAATATGCATTACATGAAATGATTGGTCATGTGTGAATGAAAAAAAAGATGGTAAATATTATCCATTGTCTCTTTTTTTTTTTTAATTATCAAAATAGAAACTGTCATTCAAAAGTGTACAACTGTGTTTTTTATTTTCTTTATTTGATTTTAAAACGTTTAAACGCATAAAAACATGCTTTGTTTATACATATAAATTTAAAATTGAAAATCTTATCAAACGGCTGTTACTTGTTTACATTGTATTAACAAAATCATCTTGAACATGAATAAATTCCAAAGATTTAGTTATATAACAATAATCAACAACATAAACCTTATTGTTAAGTATGATATATATATACAACTAAATTTATTTTAGATTCACTTGGTGTTGTTTTACTTGTATCTTTCAATTGTTATTTAGGAATGCAATTGATCAGTCTTATGTTGGCAATATGTGCATCCTGTGAGGATTGTCTCTATATAGTTTTAAGTCACAAGCTTTTTAAGTGAACATCATCTCTAGGATGCAGGTACATCCACTTGAGGAGCCCCAAATAAGACGAAACACGAGATAAACTTGATCCCAATGCTAGCCACTATCCATCTTTGCTTAAAAAGCTTGTGACTTAAGGCTATAATGAGGCTATCCGCACAGGTTACACATATTCCAACATGAAATTGATCGGTTATAGTCCTAAATAACAATAGGAACATACAAGGAAAACAACATCAAGTGAATTTAAACTTCACTTCATTGCACAAACAGGTGGTTATCAGGACTCAGTAGCTAAGTCGATAACATGATGACGTTTGAAGCGAATGGTGCTGGGTTCAAGTCATAAAGTGGACATCAACTCTGAGATGCAGGTACATCCAGATGATGAGTCCCAATTGGGATGAAACGTGAGTCCTGGATTCCACTGATAGTCACTATTCATCTTTGCTTAAAAATGTATTTTAGTTAGAATTTTAAAATCAACAAGGATAGATGGCTAGATAGCTGTTTTATTTAAGTTGTTTCTGATATTCATCAACCATATCAAAATGTTACCTATATGAGATCACATGTATAATTGTCAAACTTTGTAACAATCATGACAAGTTCAAATGAAATTAGTTAAGACTTATTGGTTAACATGTATCACCTAAATCATTTTGTTTTAAGCGTAGAACATTAAAAAAATAGTTCATTTTTTTGTAACTAAATGAATATTGTGAAAGTAGTAAGTTTTAGAACAATTCTATGGTAAATTATCATCTACATTTTTATTGTATACTTATTGAATAACTAGATTATTATGTTCCCGTCGTAGTGTGTGCTACTTATTTCGACATAAGTAGTATATACGCTTGTCAAAAACAGGATATCTGGTAGCAGAACATCAAGTATATCAAAGAGAAAACAACGGAAATAAAAAGTAATTGGTATAAAAATACAGGAACATTAAAGTCTAAAATAATTAATGAATATTTTGCAAATAAAGTATTCACTGTATAGTTCTTACATTTTACTAAAACATTCTGTAATCTTGTATTCAAATATATTCGACTATCCTCAATTGTATTCTTGTTCACTACACCATCATTGTTAATATTCCTATCGAGATTTAAATTTAATATTTATTGTTTTATACAAAATACAATTATTTACTAATGATTTCATATACTTTAAACAAGGCAGTCGCTATCTCAAATTAATCATTTAATGGATAATGTATCACAGTCTATTGAGGTGATTAGCATAGAGTTTAAGTTTCAATGTAAAAATTAACATTAGACTGCAAGGTTTATCTACATGAAAACACTCGAAAAAAGAAAAAAAAACCCATACATTCTGAACTCCAGTGCTGGCTATATACTAAATATATTAAGAAATGGAAATTGGTATATGTGAAATAGCTTTTTGCTTATCTCAAGACAAAAGTGGATAAGTTTTAACATAAGCGTCTCATTAGTTCTAACTTATAAATTAAAATTATTTTGTATTTTTTAGAGCACATTATATTATGCATTTGCCACCGAATGCCCTGGTACGGCCGAAAGTGGGGAGAGTCCGCTCTCCCTCTCGAAATACTCTCACATGACCACGCGTATATAGTCTCAGCCAGGGAAGTCCTACTCACTGCATTGTTGCACCACGGGTGTTTTTTACGAAAATGAGAAGACGAAAAGAGAATGTCCGGCACCGGCTTTAACCGGATCCCAAATCAATGGTGCACATGGGCTCCAGTATTCTGAAGAAACAAATGGCGTATGAATCAATCGTTGGTCACCGGCTACCATGGGACTGCATCTCCTTACGATGCTCCACTGCCTTGTGGGTCAGACGTTCAAATCGAAGGCTCGGGGTGTGGCCCCATAAGAAAACCATCTGCTTCGGTTTGGGCACCCGAGCAGTATCACAGCCCTCACACAAATCAATTGAGATTCGTGTGGCGCATATGTATTTGTTGCCTCCTTGTACAAATGCTTATGTGTTAAAATAAATAAATAATAATAAATGACTTTAAAATAGATAGTAACAAATATGTATCTAGGAAAAAAAACCTAATTTCAACAAGTATAATTTCAGAATCTAACTCGTCAGTATGAAAATTAGCTGATAAGAAGCATATTTATAACCGCTCGGTAATAGTTTGTATCTATAATTTATACAGAACTGATAAATGTAGTATTCCTTGGTATAATCGTAAAAGATGTTGATAAGAAAGTAGTCAAGTGATGTATACATAAAATGTTTCAATAAAATCATAAAACAGTTTAATTTAAATCACCATTGATTGAAATAAAACATTATTACAATTGAATGCGTTCGTGTAGGAGACCGAAAGCGCTAAACTTCATTCCTCAGTGTAGGGTTATGAATGTTCACTTATGAAGAGATTTATACTTTGGTGAAATAGCCATCCAATGATTCTTAGAACCTCTTATTAAAAATAATCTTTTATCAAATTAAAAATACATCTTTCTTTATATATATATAAAAACTGTACAATAACAAAACCCCTTCTGATAATAATCATCTGCTCACTAGTGATTGACTTCAAGAGATACTCCTGAAGTTCTAGTGAGAAGCCGTTACCAGTGGAGTTCAACCAGGTCTGTTGTGAGATATCAGCTCACTGAAGACAATGGTGTACGGTGGCGCAACTTCGTGGATTGGTTGAAGTTAGACATTAACACCGTTGGATTCCGGCTCAGTGGTCTAGTTGGTTAAGCGCCTGGCGCGAGACTGGTAGGTCCTGGGTTCGAATCTCGCGGAGGGGCGGGATTGTGGATCCGCACTGCTAAGGAGTCCCACACTAGGACAGAACGGTCGTCCAGTGCTTCCAGGTTTTTCATGGTGGTCTAGCTTTAATTGACTCATGATTTCAGCTATTGAAATAACCATAATAATAAAAAAGGTACTTACTCAATATCATGATCTGTTTTTGTCCATGTTTGTGTTTTATTACATAGTTCATTATTAGATTGATAATCACATGTATTATAATCATTAGTAATAATACTAATATTATCATTACTATGATATGATTGAAATAGATTTGGTGTAATCGAATGGAAATCATCAATGGGTTCTTTATCATTATAATATTCATGATTATTATTATTATTATTATTATTATTTAAACTATCATAAATATTATTATAACTATAAACATGATTATTACGTAATTCATTTGATATATCATATCGATTATTATTAGTATTATTATATTGATTATATTGATTATAATGATCTTGGATTAATGAACGTGGTCTCCTAGGTAATATACGATTAGGTTGTTTATGATTAATTTTTTTATATATTCCACTTAATTTTGTATCATTCATAGAATTATTCCCATTATATATGTAATTATGATGTAATGATTGGGAAGAATTATAATAATCATTTATTGAATTATTATTATTATTAAATCCATTCAATGGTTTTGTATCGTTTAATAATGATTCTTCAGATGGATGATTGCTTAATTGACTTGAATAGAATTATGAATAATAAAAAAAAAGAAGATTGTGAGAAATAATATAAATGATAGGGTTAAGGAGTGAATTAAAATAAATTCTATGTATAGATATGTATATATATTCGATGGTGGTTGGAGGTAGTGAACAGGAAACCCTTGATTCGGGTATCGTGCTACTTGGGACTCGTCAGCAAGGTGTACCTGTTATCTTGAAGGGACTGGTACTCCCTGACGGATTTGATTCCGTATCACTCAGCTTCACAGTCAGAGATGTTACCACTGAGCTATCCGGGCCGTGACTGACCTCTTGTATTATTATATTATTATTATAAGCTTTATTCAACATTATATTTGTGGTACACTATTGAATTCTCAGCATAAAGTATTTCAACAAGTTTCCTTTTCTTATATCTTGATCGATCCTGACGATAAATATTGTGTGATGGCCAGTTAGATGTTAGGAGTTCGATAATCGACATCTGAATAATGTTCATTCGTTTCAATGCATATTGCAAGTCACCATGATGTCGCTGGTTGTACCTTTTTGTAATCCGTACAGCGAAAGGTTGTAAACTTTCGTAAACGCGCCTGAATAGATTGTGCGCTCAATAGACATAATAGTGTGTTAAAACAAACAAGAAAACAGATAACTTGACGAAATATCTAGATGGGAGGAACAGGTAGCCCAGATATTCAAGGACTGAGAAGTAATCACAATTGATTGATCACTGGGTGATGATCAATGTTATATGTGTCAAGTCCTTATTTGTGCAGATCGAATGCTATCGACCATGTTGCAATGTGCACGCAGTTTCGAGTCACCTAGACTGATGGCCACATTTGCAACATGGTCGATAGCATTCAATCTGTACGAATAAGGACTTGACACATATTACATTGATCACCACCCAGTGATCAATCAATTATGATATATATAAATTTAAAAGGCAAGCCCTCACATGGAATCCTCAAAGCCAATGGAAAAGAGGATGACCAAGAAACACATTATACCAAGAAATGGAGATAGACATAAGAAAAATGAACAGAAATTGGATAGAACTAGAAAGAAAGACCCAGGACAGAGTGGGCTATAGAATGCTGGTCGGCCGCCTATGCTCCATTAGGAGTTACAGGCATAAGTAAGTAATATGTTTTCAATCATTAGGTTATGATAAGTTACAGGCGTAACGTAAGTAAGTAAGTAACTTTAATGATTCCGAGATAATTTGTTGACATGCATGAATGTCAAGTTTTATTTCGATTGATCTGGTTGCACGAATCAAATTTCTCTACATAAAACAAGTTCAATCTAATGTAGTATTAGAAAATATTGTGGAAATTTATAAGATAGAACTTTTTCCATATGTCCTATTAATTTATTATTATGGAAAATACTTTACAAAATGGAATAAATCATAAAGTAATGTTACACCTGACCATCTAGTCGTCAAGACGTTATTACTGTATGTTTCTGTCGTTTACAACATGGAACTACACCTTTTCTTAATTTACCTGAAAAGGTAAGTGGATTAACAATAGCCTTGCTATCTTGAAACAACTACGTGAGATGTTTTATAGCCACTAGCGAAGGAAGTCTATTAGAGGTAACTAGTTGTTTTATTTTTATAGTTTACCTTTCTCAGACCATCTTAGTTGATTGTAAGAAGACAGTATTGATCCAATTGCTGACCATCTTAAAGAAGTGCCTTACTGACATCATCCTATTCAATACAGTTAAATGTAGGACTTTGGCTTCAGACATCAAAAAAGAAGTTACTTTTAATTTCAACTCTCTTCGATTAACCTCTATGTCATAGTACAATCTAAAAGTATAATTGTACAAAACAAAAAAACTCCAATGAAAGAACCCCCCCCCCGTAGTTATTTTCACCAGACTATGTAACATATGGATAGCTTGTTTTAGCAAATATTCATGGAATAATTGTATTTAACATAGTTTTCATCAAAATAGATTAGTATCCATTAAAATGTGATCTTACCCATTCAAATGTTCTGATGAAGATTCTGAATGTAACTATTCATAGTTATCAACAACAACGACAACAACAACAACAAAAAAAAGAGAAGAAAACAATATAAACAAAATGTATACCATTTAGTAATAAAGATAAATGAGAATTTTCAATCAAAATAAAAGATGTTTTTAAAATTTTGTATTATTAAACTAATGTATTATGAAAGACTTTTGTATCAGTATATGAGTTGTGGAGATTATTAAGTTATTGATTGAGATTATGAACTGATGGATGTTAGATCACCGTTGGAAACTTGGATGAAACGGTCGTCCAGTGTTTCCAGGTTTTCAATAATGGTCTAACATCAATAGGTTCATGATCTCAATTGAAAGACTTTTTATGATAATAATAATGCTATAGTTTGTTTGATTAAAAGTACCTAAGTATAGAGATAAATTTTTGGTAGTTTTATTGTAAAATAATTATGTAAATCAGAAATAAATTTGTTAACTATGAATGAAATGATAGGAGATTATTGTTGATCACAATATGTAATGGCCTAGCTTAGATCGATTCCATAAATTCTCATACTTATAATAATCATGTATTTAATTGTGATTAGCTTTATGAGGAGTTCATTCCGTGTCTAGTGTGCGACAGTTATCCACCACAGATAGTAGATGAAGGGTTGTGCAAGATCGTGGGTTGATTGAAGTAAGACATCAACACCATTGGATGCTAATTCAGTGATCTAGAGGCTAAGCGTTTGCGCGTGGGACCGAAGCTCCTGGATTGAAGTCCATATGGTACGGCATTGTGGATACACACTGGTGAGGAGTCCCATACTACGACGAAACGGCCGTTTAGTAATTCCAGATTTTAAATGGTGGTCTAGCATAGATCAACTGGTGATTTCAACTGTGAAAATACTACAATCGTCGCATATCATATTGTGATAATGAACAAGTTTTAAGTTTTTACACTTAAAAAGAAACACTGACAAATATTATATCGACTAATGTATTAGAACAAAATAACTCTTCAGTATTCCATTTTTTGTTAATGGCTATCTAATGAACCTTTGACCTAAAGGTCTAATCCACAAAGTGACTTTGGGAGATGCAGTCCCATGGTAACCGGTGGCGAACATTAGGTTCATAAGTTTTTTGTTCTTTCAGAATTAAGAGATTTTCCTTCTTGTTGTTATTGACGAAGTTAGTATTACAACAGCGGTAAATTCTATGTTGATAAAAAGATAAATGTTTCCATCAGAATTAAAGTTAATTATGTACTGAAATTTAATTTATCATAAAATTTAGGGGAAAAGAAACAATGGTGGAAATCCACTTGGTATTGTTTACTTCAATCTTTCTGTTAATATTTAGCAATGCAATTGATCAGCCTCTTATTGGCATATGTGAATACTGAGCATATTGCCTCGATATTACTTTGATTCACAAGTATCATAAACAAAGATGGATAGTGGCTAGCAGTGGAATCCAGTTTGACACGCATTTCGTCCTATTTGGAACTCACCAGCTGGTTATACCCAATATCGTTCGGTTCAAATGCCATCGCGTTATCCACTTAGCTACTGAGTCCTGATAGCCACTTGCTTGTGCAATGGAGCAAAGTTTAAATTCACTTGGTATTGCTTACTTGAATCTTTCAATTGATGTTTAAGACAAAACGCTCGTTCTGGATTCCACCACCAGCTACTACCCATCTTTGCTTATAATGGTGGTGATCAATAAATACTTAGGATTTATTTTGAATCAAATGACTAGTACAAAAGAAATCACATGGTGTACACTAGCTTCTCTAAAAAAATATTGTATATTGAATAGGTTATCAGTTTTGATTACCTACAGGTAGGTTCAATGAATCAATTATGTTGACAATGAAGCTAGACGTAACAGTTCTATGCTCACTTCAATGTAAGATTGTTGATAAGAAATTCGGTAGATCTAACCACATCAAAGCAGTTTGTTAGTATTAAGTAGATCATCACGTCATGAATAGTGATAATAACAACAAACTTTGGATCGTATATATGTGTCAGTTGTTTAACCTTTGAAGTGATTACATAATTTCCTTTCTGTTTTGAATAATAATTTGTTTGCAGAGATTGTTTTATTTGAAAGTAAGTGATCGTCACAGATCGCTATAAGGTATAGAACAGTTATAAATTAGAAGGGGACTATTTCATTAAGTGACTAAGGGTGAAAGGGCAATATGCAAAAATATCATCACTATGGTGAAATCTGATTTTCGATACTTCAGCATTAGATTAAAGTGATTGATATGTATCATTGATAAGTCCAAAAAGTAAATAAAATAGCTATCTAATGATGGTGTGATTAATTAACTAAGATCATTAGGAGATTTCAAACTCATCGGACAGTTGAAAAGGAACTTTCGAAACCCTTTTATAAAGTATACACTGGTTACATCATACCATAATATCATCACTGGAAATATTTATTTGATTGAGATCATGAATCGATTGATGTTAGACCACTATTGAAAACCTATGAGCACTGGACGGCTGTTTCGTCCTATTGTACGACTCCTCAGCAATACACATTCACAATCCCCTTCTTAGGATTCGAACCCAGGGCTTTCAGTCTAGCGCACGAACGCTTAATCTACTAGACCACTGAACTAGTTGGCATCCAACAGTGTTAATGTATAACCTAAATCAATAATGGTCTAACATCAATTGATTCATGATCTCAATCAATAACTTAAGAATCTCCACAATCTTATACTAATAATTGAGATTTAATACTGATTTTAAGCATGATAAAACTTACATTTTTTGTATAATAATGATTAGATTGATAATTATGGTTTTCAGAAAATAATAAGTTACTTTTATCCAATGGTTTACGTGAAATAAAATTATTTGAACCATAATGTCTTTGTATAATGATTGGTTGAATAGGATCTTCATCTATAATAAATAAATAAATAAGAATAATACTAATTTATGAAGATTAAAAACAAACAAAAAAAAAGAAATATCCCTGTTAAAGTTGATAAAATAAGATAATCTGTTTTTTTTTTTTTTTGGAACAAGAGATGAATTGTATCAGGAAGTAAAGCTCTTTACACTAAGTGATGTACATAGTTGAATTCATTGAGTATACACAGAATTTAAGTATAAAACTGTTGTAACTTATGGACGGCGTGCTCTGTTAATGTATAACGTAATGATACCGCCAATTAGAGAACAGTGAATTATTGATCGGATCAATGAAGCGTAAACCCGCATGAGCAATCTAGATTCCTGATTGATTCTGCGTCTTGCCTAACCCAGTCAATTAAGTCCAGAACACCAATCTTAGCCTCTGCAATATGAATCATGTATTTCAAACCTACTGTGTTTATATACCAATCAAGCAGATCACAGTGTACCATAAAATAGAAAACAACATTTGTTCAAGATTTAGTCAAAAGTAGCTGTGAATGTGGGAGTTAGTGACTAATAGAGAGGGCATAAGTCAAGAATGGCAAATCGTATAATAACAGTTCATAAATTAAAACAAAGCTTATGATAAGAGGAATAAGAAAATGAATAGTTTAGGTAATTAACAATTATACGATAAAAATGTACATGTAGTATTGGTCTACACATGGATCCTAAAAATTACCACTCATTATTTTTATCGGGACATAACAAAAACAAAAGAAACTCCATTTGTGATGACTTTTCTGTATCAGATAGATAAGCTAGTTGAATACGCTATTAAGAATGGACTTTAACAATTCATGTTCCCCATAAGTTCTTATAATCAAAATATTACACAAATATGTTATAGATATTACTGAATCTATTGTGATAGGATCCGCTCAAAGTCTTTGAGCCAGTAGATTGTATTAAAACTATTCATCATTATGACATTCCTTTAGCAAAACTATTATCAATATTTCCTTTCGGTTGTGTGAATTCAGACCCTGCTAACATTTAATAATAAATTTTATGGATTTATTTGATGTATCACACATTTCATTTATGCTCAAAACTATGTGAATCGTAGGTAGGGATTTGTATAATATCAACACTAAAAACAAAATATTGACTTATTTTCGGTAAAGGGTTGCAGTGATTGTTGGGTTTCATTGAAATTATGGACTGATCTAAGTTACATTATCAATTGGAAACTCCACAATACCAATATGATAATTACCATGCGCACATTAGTGACTAGATTCAGGAGGAAATCCATGCAGTTCTAGTGGGTAGCCATGACCAATGAAGTTCGATCAGTGTTGGGTGTGAGGTAGTTACCCAACGAAAAAAAACAGGGTTGATTAAAGTTATACATTCAAATCGTTGGGTACTGTTCGGTGGTTTAAATGTTAAATGTTCGTTGGTCTGATTCTCTTGCGTGAGTTTTTCAATGGGCACTAGTGATTAGTCCTACACTAAGGACTAAACAAGTATCCAGAACTTTGAGGTTTTCAATGTTGGTCTAACTTATATTGATCCATAATTTCAACCATATTAGTTTACATTTACATCCTGTGTTGGATCAGATATAAGGTCAATACATTCAAAACCAATTAATGACTTATGTGAAGTAGTATCTGTAGTGCTTAATGGACGTATGTTTCTGATGAGAGTCAGACGTGCATCACATTATTATTTACCATTTCACATTCTAGAATGCTTCGTTGAATAATGTGTAATGTTATAGATTTATCCTGTCATGTGGTCAGAAATTGAATTGTAATTGATGTATAGTTATTTATAGTTTTCCTTTATTAATGTAAGTCATAATAATTGTTTACAACCTCCTAATAATAGAATATAAATACATAAAAATCAATTTATTGGGCATATTACTATCCATATATACTTACTTACTTACGCCTGTTACTCCCAATGGAGCATAGGCCGCCGACCAGCATTCTCCAACCCACTCTGTCCTGGGCCTTCTTTTCTAGTTCCATCCAATTCTTGTTCATTTTTCTCATATCTATCTCCATTTCCCGGCGTAATGTATTCTTTGGTCTTCCTCTCCTCCTTCGATCTTGAGGATTCCATATGAGGGCTTGTCTTGTGACGCAGTTCGGTGTTTTCCTCAATGTGTGTCCTATCCACTTCCAGCGCTTCTTCCTGATTTCTTCCTCCACTGGGATCTGATTTGTTCTCTCCCATAGTAGGTTGTTGCTAATAGTGTCCGGCCAGCGGATCTGAAGTATTTTGCGTAGACAACTGTTAATAAACACCTGTATCTTTTGGACGATGGATTTCGTAGTTTTCCAGGTTTCCGCGCCATACAGTAGAACTGTCTTGACATTTGTATTGAAAATTCTGACTTTGGTGTTGGTTGCTAATTGTTTTGAGTTCCAGATATTCTTCAGTTGTAAATATGCTGCTCTTGCTTTGCCAATCCGTGCCTTCACATCTGCATCAGATCCAACGTGTTCATCGATGATACTGCCCAAATATGTAAAGGTTTTTACATCTTCCAAAGCTTCTCCATCAATTGTGATTGGATTGGTACATGTTGTGTTGTATCGAAGAATCTTGCTTTTCCCTTTGTGTATATTGAGACCTATTGCTGCTGAGGCTGCAGCTACACTGGTTGTCTTCTCCTGCATTTGTTGTTGTGTATACGATAGAAGAGCCAGATCATCTGCAAAGTCTAGATCATCCAATTGCATCCTAGCTATCCACTGTATCCCATGCTTCCCTTCAGATGTTGATGTCTTCATGATCCAGTCGATCACCAGGAGAATCCATATATAGTCATTGATAAATATTAACCTAGTTTAAGGTATAATTTGAACTTGAAGATTTCTATTCTACAATTCTATCATGATCGTACATTTTTAAATTCACTTAGTGTTGTTTTACTTATATCTTCCTATTGTTATTTAACACTTCAATTGATCATATATATATATATATATATATATATATATATATATATATATACATCCTGTGAGAATTGGTTCGATATAACGTTAGATCATATGCGTTTTTTAAGCAAAAATAGATAGTGGCTATCAGTAGAATCCAATTTAATGCACATTTCATCCTATTTGAAACTTTTCAACTAGATTTACCTGTATTCAAGAAACACTGTTTACTCCAGGACTTGAACCCAATACCATTCACTTTAAATACTTTTTAGTTTGTTTTTCTTTTAAATTAATATATATATATATAGTTTAAACAAAATTTACCTGATTTCTTATTTAAATTTCGTTCATAACTATTATGTTGATATGTTGTGAATTGAATATTATCCATTTTATTATTGATATTATCATTGAATTTGTTTGTATTTATTTGTTGATATGAATAATCATCATAGGAATGATGTAATGAATTCAATGAATTTTCATTATTCAATTGATTTAATTTATCTAATTCACTATATCTTCGATTAGGATCATGGTTATTTAATTGGATTATTTTTTCTTTAGTTAAATCTTGTTCACTGAATGTATTATAATAATTTATCTAAAATATAAAAGAATAAATTCTATAATAATAAAATTAGTTTAGAATATATTAAAAGATTTATATATTCATTATAATAATATGGTAATTGTATTTTTTTTTATTTATTATTGTTATTAGATAGTGATAATATATAATTACTGTTATTCTTCTTAATAGAGTATAGGTCACCGATTAATATACTATATTGACAGATAATTCCCATTTAAACATTAAAATTAAAACACGAAGTTCAACGAAGGGATCTCTTTTCAACGAATTTATTATCAAGCTGTACAATCGTATATATATATATATATAAAATTTTGTAAAAGAGCGGCATTCCTTCAACTGAAGAACATATGGAACTCAAAACAACTTTCAACCAATATCAAAGTCAGAATCTTCAATACGAACGTCAAGGCAGTTCTACTGTACGGAGCTGAAACTTGGAGAACTACAACAACCACCATCAAGAAGGTACAGGTATTTATTAATAGCTTTCTACGCATGATACTCAACATCCATTGACCGGATACCATCAGCAACAGCCTTTTGTGGGAGAGAACCAACCAGCTTCCGGCTGAAGAGGAAATTAGGAAAAGACGATGGAAATGGATAGGACATATATTGAGGAAATCATCAAACTGCATTACGAGACAAGCGCTAACTTGGAATCCTGAAGGGAAGCGGAAAAGAGGAAGGCCAAAGAACACATTTCGTCGGGAAATAGAAGAGGATATGAAAAAGATGAATAAGAACTGGAAAGAGCTTGAAAGAATTGCCCAGGACAGGGTTGGATGGAGAATGCTGGTGAGCGGCCTATGCTCCTTCATGAGGAGTAACAGGCGTCAGAAGTAAGTTGAAGACTAATTCAGTGAGGAAATGTGAACACAGTTAACCATGACATAATAAAAAGGGGGTTATAATACTAGATTACGTAATACGAATAATAACAATAGATTTAGTGAATATAATAAGATGATTAAAATGTTTTTGTTATAATACTTAAAGGTCATAGAGGTGTGAAAAAATAAATAAATAAGGTAATATGATGAGTATTTACGAATATAAACAATGAGAATATAAGACATAAGTAAAGGGGGAATGCAACATTAATAATAATAATAATAGAATAATCAAAATAATTAAGGCCAAGGTAACGATAGCGATAAGACGTACTTCTTTTGTACGCATAGTTCTGGTTTAAGCTCCTGAATGGTAAGAGCTTCGGCTATTTTTTCACACCTCTATGACCTTTAAGTATTATAACAAAAATATTTTAATCATCTTATTATATTCACTAAATCTATTGTTATTATTCGTATTACGTAATCTAGTATTATAACCCCCTTTTTATTATGTCATGGTTAACTGTGTTCACATTTCCTCACGGAATTAGTACTTTTACAAAATTTTATATATATATATATATATATATATATATATATATATATATATACGATTGTACAGCTTGATAATAAATTCGTTGAAAAGAGATCCCTTCGCTGAACTTCGTGTTTTAATTTTAATATTCTATAACCTACTGTGTTCTGAGCTTTCCTTTTTTTTTTTTAGTTTTATACAATTGTTGTTCATTCTTCTCATGTCTGTCTCCATTTCTTGGCTTCATGTGTTCTTTTGTCTTACTCTTCTTTTTTGGTATTGAGGATTTCAAATGAGGGATTGCCTTTTGACATATACTTAGATCCTTTCCTCAATGTATGTCCTATCCAGTTCCAGTACTTCTTACTGATTATTTTCCTCTCCTGGAATTTGAATTGTTCTCTCCCACAATACGCTGTTGCTAATAGTGTCTGGTCAACGGATTCGAAGTGTTTTGTGTCGACAAGTGTTAACAAACACTTGTATCTTCTAAATGATAACTTTCTTAATTCTCCAAGTTTCCGCCCCATACAGTAGTAAATGAAAATTAATCATTCTGAGTGATCTACCGTATATACGTAGTTTTATAAAGTTGTTCGATCTCGTCTCTTAAATACAGACTAAAGTGAAAGGATCCAAGCTTACAATGCTAGTCTATATGTCATGAATGAAACTGATAACACCTATATCATTTCATTGGTCTGATGAAACTTAATGAACTAGTTTTATTATTATTTCATGCCGTTTTATTTTGTTTATCTATTCTAACGTCTTTTCTTTTATAATCTTAACTCTCTAGTTATCTGAAGACTTCTTATTGCATAATTTCAATAGCTTTTAATGTTTCTTCCCCGATAAGTTTTCACTTCATTCAGACGTTGTTTGCTTAACACAAACTTTCATCATTCTTATTACAATAAATAAATCTGTCATCTTTATATCAAAATGTTCTATATACTTATTCTGATCATTTATGTAGCTTAATTGATTGAAGTTGGAAACATGTAATATCTGCTGAAGGGTTCAGTGAAATGTGAATGAATCGAGTTCGTTTACAAGTGGGGTTATGTTGATTATTTGTTGGAGAAAATAAATTGGGTGGGTAACGTTAAAAACTGCCTTGTTTTTTTTGGAAAAACAATACCCCATGTGTGGTTGATTTGTGACGAATACAACTACATAAGGCATAAATTGAGGTATAAACTTGAAAAAATCTTTACGCCGTTGGATAACGATTTCATACATTACTGTTATTCATCAATTTTACATAAATGTCATATTTTTCATTGGAAGCCTAGAAAATCTTTAAAAAGTACATATAGCAATGGATAATGACAGTACGTTAAGAATGTATAAATTCAGGTGAAACTTCTTGTTGGGGATGTTAAATTACCAGAACTCACCTGGTAAATGTCTTATTTTCGTTACAAAGGAGCTTATTTTCATCTTCATCTTGTATTTTACACATGAGAAGACCTTTAATATCTTTGGTTCGTTGTCACTTTTAATATGCTATTTTGTACCGTTTCCCAACGACATTTTTATGCTCTATATGTATGCTTAAGTTGTCCTTTTTGTTATAAGTGCTTCTGGCTGTTTGTGGAATACCTGAACTTCTTACTTTACTTATCATAAAACTAGTTAACTTATTTGATCATTGTGTCACTAAGTTTTCGTTCCATTCTCACATTTAAATAATATCATAGTTTCTTCAAACATAACACTTTAGAAAAAACTTATTTTTAAACAATATACTAAAGATAAACAATAGTTCATAATTTCCATATAGTTATTTGAATTCAGTAGTTTAGTGGATTACATATCATTGTTGAAATCAGAAACTAATAGGTTCCAATGATATATATATATATATATATATATATATATATATATCTGCAGGGATTTTGTGGAGATCTTAGTAATTTCAATAGTTGAAATCATGAGTCAATTGAAGTTAGACCACCATAAAATACCTGTAAACACTCTACGGCCAGGTTTTCTATGGTGATCTAGCTTCAATTAACTGATAATCTCAACTATTTAAATTACTATAATATCTATAAAACTCCCTTCTGATATTCATTAACATATGTTCACTAGTGATTGTCTTCAAGAAGTATTTCTTGGAGTTCTAGTGAGAAGCAGTGATCAGTGGAATTCAACAAAGTCTGTTGTCAGATGATAACTCACTGAAGACAATGATGGATGTGTCATCTAATTTTGTGCATTGGTTCAAGTTAGACATTAACACCGTTGGATACGCGCGAGACTGATAGGTCCTAAGTTTGAATATCGCAGGGGGGGGAGCGGGATCGTGGATGCGTAGTGCTGAGTGGTCTCACAATAGGATGAAACGACTGTCTAGTGCTTTCAGGTTTTCCATGGTGGTCTAGGTTCAATTAACTTATGATTTCAACTACTGAAGCTTATTTGTTGGATCTATCTGAATCCTAGTATATATATACTAGGATTCAGATAGATTCAGCAAATGAACTTCAAACAGAACAGAAATCATGCTCTAAATTCTAGTACCATTCACAATCTTCATGTATAAAGAGTATGAATATTATATTTATCACAACAAATATAAACAAATAAACATATTAATCTAAATATGAATAATATAACTTACATTATTATTTAAAAATTCCGGTTTTAATGGTCTAGCTATATGTGTAATATATTCTTCTTTAACTTTTGTTAATTTAATTGGTGTTTTTGATTTTTTTATTGTTGTATTGATATTTGGTGTTGATTTATAATGACCATATTGTTTAATTAAACCAATTTTATTTATATTTAATTGATTATTATTATTATTATTATTATTATTACTATTAATAATAGTATTAGTAGTATTATGAATAGTATTAGTAGTATTAGTAGTATTAGTAGTAGTAGTAGTATATTGCATAATTTTTTCTGAAGTTGAAATATCTACCTAAAATGAAATAAAAAATATATCCTTATATAAATTGAATATATTAATATAATGAATATGGGTATTTATATAAATGTATTAGTTGAATTATACTAATAGTATACTAACTAGGTATAAGATAATGATGATTATCTATTATTTATTTTACTGGTTATTTAAGCTTGTCATTCAAATTATAAATTAGAGTATGGTTACTTTTTTTTCTTTGTCAAATAATTGAAAATCATATAGGTTTCTATGTCATTCAATGTATTTGAATACATGAATATATTTATATATACATACATAATGTGTATACATTAGTAGTACATGTGAACAGAATGTATAGCTGAGCTTGATTTAAATATAGATTTGCCTTGATTTAAAGAAGAAGAAGAAGAAGAAGAAAAAGAAGAAGAAGAGATCAACTAGTTTATAGTTTATAAAATATTTATAGAATAGATTGATAATTCTATTAATTCAAATGATCATTCTATTGTAGATCATATGACTTGGAAAATTTATATATATATATACATTGAAGGTTTTTGCTAATAGGTAAATTTCAATATGAATATTTCATATAATCTCTAGGGGATAAATAAATAATTAATTAATTTGTATCAAAAAGGGGGGTTTTGTGGAGATTTTAGTAATTTAAATAGTTAAAAAGTCTCACAGTAGGACGAAATGGCTGTCCAGTGCTTCTCAGTTTTCCATGGTGGTCTAGCTTCAATTGACTCATGATCTCAATTATTGGAATAATTAATTATTGATCAATTTAAGAAATAATTTGAATTTAATGTTTTAAAGATAAATATAATATTATTTTATTAATTGAGATTATGAGTCCATTGATACTAGACCAATATAGAAAAATTGGAAGTACTGGACAGTCGTTTCGTCCTATTGTAGGATTTCTCAGTAGTATGTATCTATGATCCAGTCTCATGTAATTCAAACCCAGGAGCTGTTGGTCTCGTACGCTAACGTCTAATATATCTATAGTGCTCGATAGAATTAAGAATAGTTTCCATCACTGTCAGTGAACATTTATTCAACAACCAGTTAATAGTTTGAATAAAATAGAATACAATTGATATAATACCAACAAAAACTGTCAATATTAAAACAACAAGAAAACAAAAGATTCATAACAACTTCTTGATTCAAACGTTTATGAATTAGGTGTATAAATCAAATCAAATATTGTTAAATTGTTTTGGTTTCGATTAATTTTAACATTTTGCAAAGTACTTTACTATATTGATGTTGGTTATAGGAAGTGGATAGGACACACATTGAGGAAAGCACTCAACTGCCTCACATGGAATTCTCAAGGTCGAAGGAGAAGCAGAAGATCAAAGAATACCTTACGCTGAGAAATGAAAACAAACATGAGAAGAACAAACAACAATTGAATAGAACTAGAAAGGAAGGTCCAGAACAGAGTGGGTTATAGAATGCTGGTCGGTGGCCTATGCTTCATTGGTAGTAACGGGAGTAAGTAAGTAAGTATAGGCACCCATAGATTAAAATCTTATTGAGTAAGTTTATGTTTAGTTTTAGAAAAATGAAATACAACTTGAAGCAAATAATCCTTTGAAAAGGTTTACAATTGCTATCTGTTTCCTTTTCTGTTCTCCTCAGTTTTCTGTTGGCGTGCATTCCACATCCGACTGGTCCTACATACTACTTATATCTGTAAAGATAAGTGGCGCACACCACCCGACCGTTTCTGCAATCTTGACGTGGTGATCGGACTTGCCTATCGTAATTAACAAATCGAGCTATACTGGCTGGAACAATTGTTCCTCAAGATCCTACCACGCCAGACAGGTCGGTTGAAGAGCTGGAAGACTAAAAACACCAAACCCAAGGTCTGAGGGCAAAGTTGCACTGCTGACTATACAGAGGTGTGACAGAAGTAAGGTATTTCTTTCGGATAACCAGCATAACAGCGATGCTGTCTTCCCACAAGGAAGGGTAGAGTTAGAGAAGGTCGACCCTAAAAATGCACATCTCGCATTGTCCCACGGATTTTCGTCTCCGGCAGCAAGATTCCACGAAAAGTACAGAGATTTCGTGTGCGACTGGATTCAAGCAGTTATCCCTTGGGCATTACGGTAACGCTCTCAGGTGGCTAAGACCAACTCTAACCTAATTTCTTTTCAGGGTAAGTCTCGAACAACGCTCTGACGGTTGATGCAACCGGGAAGTAATAACCACCCTCATACCTGTAATATCACTAAAGACCACTGTATTCATAATCGATTTCCCTCAGATAAAATATATCAACTAAATTTAAACTTCACCTTCAATGCGCAAGCAAGTGGCTTTGAATAATTGTAAGACAAATGATAAATTATTTGATATGACATTTTATCAAACAGTCAATATATATATATATCAGTCAGCAACAACGTAGAACCAGACACTTATATGCATCGGTTCACGTTGCCATACCGCAATACCACAGCATGATGAACACCACTTTCATAGAAGTAGTTGACTCAATGGTGGTAATATATAAAAGAAAGATAGAATATAAGGATATAGTACAGGAACAAAGATTAAGTACGTAGAACGATATGAAGCGGATTTAATCTCATAGTTTAAGGGAAGACAGAGAGGGTATGCACCGACGTCATTGTGACCAATTCTGAGCCATCTAACCAAGAGTCTCTAACCATTGGTTACGATGGTCACGCGGATTCCAACCAACTAGTCTGCATCAACTAACAAGGCTCACACTAGAAGTCAGTGACTTCAAGGACTGATGCTACATTTCGGTTTGACCGCCCCTAACTTTCTTCCAACCATCTCCAACACTAGTCAGCATTGCACGTCGTAGTAATCGGTGTTCATGCATACATAACACGTGGCCCAACCACCTCGGTCGATAAACATTCAAAACCTCATAAACTGATTTACCATCATTCCCTAATAACCTGTATCTGTCTAACCTCACTATTATTTACCGAGTGATCTCAGCACATGCGAGCAATATTTTTAAGACATCTGTGGTCAAATACTAGAAGCTTACAAATATCCTCTACTCTTAATTACCACGTTTCGCAACCATAAAGTAAAGCAGAATGAACTGCCGTGTAGTATATTCGTCCCTGAATTGATAGACGAATATCTCGCCTTCACCATAGGTGATTGTGGTGTTTGATTCCTTTGTACTTGTTGAATGCTTGATTTCGAATTTCAAATACACTATATTCGTTAGTGTTTGTGTAGTACTTCTAGATTCAATCGCGTTATTTCTGGGATTCTCAGTTAGTTATATAATTCAAATACTCCTAATCATCATAGTGACGTAAGTTGACAAATGTCAAATGAGCTTTTCGAATCCATACTAAGATTTCGTCAGACACCAACCCATTATGACTAATCAGACTTCCAAGATCAGTAAAGTCGTCGATGTATTCGACTACTTCACTCCTTTTCCTTAGTTCAGGTGTTGACGCAGGTTAGGCCTGAAGCAACAACTTGCATTTACAGGGGGAGAGAAACGCATTCCAAACATTCTGGCATTATTGCCCAGTGCTATCAAGAGACTCTGCATTTTATCAGTGTCTTCACCAGACAGGATTATATCATGTGCGTATTCTTAGTCGATAAGTGGACCTCTTGATAGGAGATCAATACCCGAGAATTCAATCGACGAGAGCGTTATTTCCATCAGTAGGTCTATGATAAAGTTAAACAAATATATATATCATTATATCATAACTCACCCCAATCTCTTCATTTGAATTATATCGTTCTATTCTATCAGGAATTTTCCATGTAATATGATTCATTTTATAAGTATTATCATTACCATTATTATTATTATTACTATTATTATTATTACATAATCCATAATCAGTATTATTATTATTATTATTATTATTATTATTCATATATAATGTTGATGAATTAAATTTTTTTATATTAGAATTATTTACATTTGGTAAACTTTCACAAGATAGATTTGATAATGGGGATTGACTAATGGATGATTTATAACTTGGCATATTATTATTATTATTAGTATTATTAGTATTATTATTATGTAATTGAATATCTTTTCTATAAGCTGATCTAGTTGTAATTGGTAATTTTGGATATGAATTCATTTTTATATTGTTGTTATGTTTATAATTATGATGATTATTTTCACGAATAATTGTTATTTTTGGATAATGATTTATAGGATCCGGTGTAATAGATGTATCACTAAATGAATTCAATTCTGTATTGATTAATCCAGATGAAGATTTACTTAATAAAGGTGATGTTTTTATTATTGATTTATTATGATTATCTATAATTGTATGATTAATTCTTAAACTGGAATGACTTAAATCTGATATAGATGCACTTTTAATATTGTCTAAATATTTACGAGTTAGATCTGAAAGAAAAAAAAAAAGAAGTAGTTTGAAAGAAGAAAAAAGATCAATAATTATTTACTTATATCAATAGTTTAGTATAGTACTGAATTGATTTTTTTCTTAAGTATCTGACTTGAGAATCAAGAAGTTCAATAGATTTTAAGTAGTAGTAGTAGTAGAAGTAATCGTAGTAGTAGTAGTAGTAGTAGTAGTAGTAGTAGTAGTAGTAGTAGTAGTAGTAGTAGTGAAGGTAGTAGTAGTAGTGTGGTGTGGGTTACTTATATCCATGCAAGTAGTATATAACGATGGTCAGGCATAGAATGTATTTCAGTAGAAAGTCGTTAAGGAAAGAACGGGAACCAAAAGCAATTGGTGTGAAAATAATGAATGAACAATAAAAGCTGAGATAATGGATTGATGTTTGCAATAGGAAAAGTCAAGTTTGATATGATGTATTGATATATTGCAAATTAACGATTTAATATATGGTTCTCAGATTTTGTTGAGATGCTCTATAATTATGTGCTTAAATACATTCGATTGTTCCCACCTGTGTTCTGTTCACTACAGTAGTAGTAATAGTGTTAGTAGTAGTAATAGTAATAGTAGTAGTAGTAGTAGTAGGTTTGTAATGTTAATAAACCACAATATAGAGTGACAAATACGACCTATTCAATACGTTTTGGTGTTTAACTATTAGAGAAGGCTTTAGTAATATGTTTATAGATGACAATCAATGTAATCTAATGAACATTGTATTGATATTCCTACATATTTATTATGACTACTTCCTTTACTAATCTTATTTAATAGATCAAATAAAGATATAAATTTTATAGAGGCTTCAGTGAGGATGATTTCAGATATTACCTTGATGGTATTATTCTACGCAAATAGTCGGAAATTATTACCAACTAATGTAAAAGTGATAATGAGTTTCTATTATATATAAAAAAGTCTTGAGTTATTTCTAAATGAGATATGACTAGACTTTAATGATTACAAAATTAAGCTTACGAACGATTAAACTCTAGGCCACTGAGTTAGTATACAACAGTGTGAATCTCTGGCTTCATTCAGCCTATGATCATTTGCAAACCTTAAGTGGTTTAGAAATTGATGTTTCGCGCTTGAAATCGATTGTCCTAGTGTTCTATTCCTATGGAATAATTATAAATTTGTACTATTAACGAATCTCATACCATCCATTCAGTAAATCCAGCTTCTCAATGATGATTCAGTTAAGTTTATTAAATAATTTCAACTATGAAAATACTACAATCTTTACAAATCCCCTACACTAATTTGCTAATTTATTTAATTTTACCAATAAAATTATAATATCAGAAGAGGTTTTGTAGAGATTTTAGTAATTTCAATAGTTAAATTCATGAGTCAATTGAAGCTAAACCGCCATGGAATACCTGAAAGCATTGGATGCCCCCCCCGCCGGATTCGAACCCAGGACTCATCAGTCTCGCGCGCGATCGCTTCGTGGATGAGCACTGCTGAGGAGTCTCATACTACAACTTCCAGGTTTTCCATGGTAAACTAGCTTCAGCTGACTTATGATTTCAACAATTAAAATTATAGTAATACACATTAATATTATCTAAAAAATATTTTAATCTATTATTTAAACCAAAAAATACACACACACACCTAATTATCACACTACATCTAACTACTAATAACTATTATTAGTAATATAGCTAACAGGATTTACTAACCAGTTTCTTTGAAACTTGTACAGTTTTTAATTTCTTTTATCCTGTATTCATCTAAATCATAACCTAAATAGTTTTTTTTCATTGCTAAATTTGACATGAAACAACTAGATACGATAGTGTTAGTAGATGTAGTCGTAGTCGTCAACGTCGTCGTCGTAGTAATAGTATTTACTGTCATTGGAACAGTGGAACTAATCAACTTCCCTTGAAATACAGGTATTAATGAATGGTGATTATGAGTATTAAGTACATAATTCTTATTATTCCTAGTTGATATTTTTCGTATTGGAGGATAAGATTTATTATGTTTATACATTATTTTTTGAGCATTATTATTATTATTAGTAGTAGTATTAGTATTAGTATTAGTATTAATATTGATATATTGATTACCGTTACTTTTATCGAATGTATTATGATGACTAGTGATAGTGTTGGTGGTTAATTGAACTTGTGATGAATGTTTTGGTTTATTCATTAAAGTTGACTTCAAATATTGTTCATCATGTTTTATTGATGTTAAATTAGGTGATGTTTGTAATGGTGTTTGTGTAATCATTTTATTTTCTGATTGTTTTGATGTTGAAATTGGATTTTTTAATGTTGCTACAGTAGTATTTTTCTTCTCACCTCTAATGAAAAAGAAAAAAAATTAAAAAAAAGCAATGATCAAGACTGAAAAATTTAGGATGTATTTTTTGTTTACTTATGAGTAGTTTGTATAGTAAAATGAAAATATGTAATATTGTTAGTGTTAGTAAACGCCAGGTGATATATCTACAAGGCTGGTTAAATATACTAATCATAATACCTTACTTAATTATAAAAAAAGATGTGTTGTCATATATCTGAGATGTTAACATTCAATTGAGAGCTTGTGATGATTGTTTTGGTTGTACACTTTTGTTAATTTGTACTGGTCACAATCTATTATGTTTTTAAAGGATCTTATTGATTGTTTAATTTAAAGCAATTAGTCACTTTTATAAATTTCGATAGAACAATAAGAAGTAGGAGTTGATCTGAAAAATGTGATTTATTTGCGCTACACGTTTAATTACCAATTTACATGTATGTGTGGACACACATACATAGGGAGGAGTAATCGAACAATGCAATCAAGGGTCATTGAACATGTGCCTAAATGTCTTCAAAATCAATGTGTGTCAAATGATCCGATCAACGTGGGAGGTAGAAAACCAGGTTCATCGACAGCAAAACATATAATTGAAACAGAGCACAAAATTGACATGAATACAGCTTTTAAAACCTTGTATAGAAATTGTCAAGGACGAATTCTCAAGTTTATTGAAACCTTGGCTATTCGTAAATTTAAATCCCCCTTATGTGTACAAAACAATTTGTCATAACTTGGAATTTACCCTGGAAATCTTTAATTTATTCCATGGCCTAGGATAATACAACAATTTCTTATTCTTTCTATCCCATTTGTTACTTTTTTACTTTAACTTTCATTTAATTAACCTTTATTAACTTTCATATAAAAAATGTCCTGACACATATATGTGCCAGAAGGGGTTTTTTGGAGATTTTAGTCATTTAAATAGTTGAAATCATGAGTCAATTGAAGCTAGACCACAACTGATACGTCCTGGGTTAGAATCTCGCGGAGGGTGGGGGGGCTGGATCGTGAATGCACACTGCTGTGGATACTAACACTAGGACGAAATGGCCGTCCAGTACTTTCAGGTTTTCCATGTTGGTCTAACTTGAATTGACTCATGATTTCAACAGTTGAAAGTTTTTGTATGACCAGATTATTCGTAATGTATGGTGCAAATACATCACATTTTTCAGATCAACTCCGTCTTCTGAATGTTTAATATCAGGATGGTAACGGTCGACAATTTCTTTCGCAATTTTTAAAAGTTCTTATGTTTTACATTTTATCTTTTACTGTTATCCATTACCTTTCCAGGGATTTCAAGAAAAGACCTTGGTGTTTTACGAAGAGTGATGTAAATATTAGAAAGATATGTGTTGAATCTTATGATCATCTTATAAATATGCTTGTGGATAAATATTTGAATTATATAACGATACTGTTAAATGTGGTTTTATCACACACTAAACGTCTTCTCTGTTTTCAGTTTCTAATTGTATATTTTCAAGCAGAATAGAACACATAAATAAGAATATATCTATGCGAACAAAAGTACAAAGGCTATCCAGTATAGTTTATGACACATCTACTATGCGGAAGACAGGTAGTGAACAAACTAATTACATTCTTGAAAGTGATTAATGAGAACCGTTAGAGCCAACAGGCAGAAATATGTAGAACGTCTAGCATCGACAGCGGAAAATGCTGCAGCAGAAGGAATTATGAAACAACTATATGACATGACGGTGAAGATAGTTAGGACATAACGTAAACCAGAGAGACCAGTCAAGGACAAAGAAAGCAAGCCGATCACTGAGATTCAAGAACAGTGGAACAGGTGTGTAGAACGCTTTGAAGAACTCTTAAGTAGATCAGCTCGATTGAATCCACTGGACATTGAAGTAGCATACAGAGACCTTCCTATAGGTGTTGATTAACCAACAGTCGAGGAAACCAACAAGATCATTGGAAAAATCAAGAGTGGGAAGACATTAGGACCTGACAACATACCAGCTGAAACATTGAAGTCGGATAGAGAATTAAATGCAAACATGTTTCACACTGTGTTCAGGAAGATTTGAGGGGAAAAACAAATGCCGACAGACCGGAAAGAAGGACATCTCATCAAGATACCAAAAGAAGGAGATCTCAGAACATATGAGGACTACAGAGGTATCGCACTATTATCGGTACCAGGAAAAGTTTTCAACAGAGTGTTATTGAACCGAAAAGTTTTCTATTTAAAATTAATCAGAATTTTGCACAAAAAATATGTTTACAAACAACTTGTTGAATGAATACACAAAACAGAAGATAAAATTTTATTTTACAGTATTTCGTTTGAAAGCTCAGTAACTGTTCGCAAGTGTTTTATGGTGAAATACTCTTATTTTAAATGATATTTCCGTAGTTCATGTTGTTGAACTTCTTAATCGTGTTAAAATGAAAAAAAAAATGTGCGAGACTACAATTTATGAACGAACCAATCACGTATAAGATAATAGGTCTCGGGTTTTGGCCTGAAATTCAGTCATTCATTCATTCATTTGGATAAATAAAGTTTTGACATTATAACTGATGTCACTTCCTAACCTTAATCATCAACTGTAAATTATCATTTGAATCCCTTATACTGGATTATAATCGTCATTTAGTCCTTGTTATTAGGTGGATAATCTCAAGGTCAGTCTAGAGTTACTCAAAGGTCATCCATAAATTATATTCTGACCAAAACATGATACAACGAAATATTTTTCAAGAGTAAAAAAGTGTGAAATAACAAGAATCAAATTATATGAGTTATGAAATTATGCTCAAGAACGACAGATGTGTTTCTATAGTAATCCTTGTTGAATATTTCAAATATTGACAATAATTGATTACTGATTAGTGACAAATGTTTCGATTTAAATCTCACAGAAAGTATTAATCCTCTCAAAACTGTTGACACGTCTAGTTAACGAGTAGCGACTAACACGAAACATCATCTTTTGGTTTCAATATGGACTACCTTTAAACATCTAAAAACAATAATGTAAGTTCAGACTTTTGAATTTATTTTGATTCTAGCTACTTGTAATACCTAGTGATAGATTTGAATGAATAACAACATTTACATAATCCCAGCAGTTTTAATTAAATAATTCCTACAGATCGACCAGTAAACTGTTCCGAGACTCTTGAGGGAAATAATCATAATAAAATAAGAAATAAATTTTATGAACTCAGTATACTTTACACATATAAAGTTATCAGTATAAGGTTGTGAAGATCATTGAGTTTTGATTGAAATCATGAATGAATCAAAGTCAGAATACAATATAAGACAAGAAAATACTGGATGGCCGTTTCGTCCTAGGATGGGACTCCTCAACAGTGTGCATCCAAGATTCCGTCTTGCGAGACTCGAACTCTGGACCTATCAGTTTTGAGCGCGAGCGCTTAACCACTAAACCACTGAGCTAGCTGGCATCTAAAAGTGTTAATGTCGTTTTTTCTGCATATCTGTCAATTGGACTACTATATAATACGAATATGTAGTTCAAGTAAACGATTTCGTCAAGAAGAAAAACGTTTCTTCGATGAATTCTCTTTTTCTTATTCAATAACAGAAATAGATCTCTTAAATATCAATTTCGTGGATTGGTTGAAGTTAGACATTAACACCGTTGGATGCCGGCCGACTCAGTGGTTAGGTGCTCGGGAGCTAGATTGATAGGTCCTGGGTTCGATTATCGCAAAGGCGAGATCGCGGATGCGCACTGCTGAGGAGTCCCATACTAGAACGAAGTGGTCGTCAAGTGCTTTCAGGTTTTCCATGGTGGTCTAACTTCAACTGACTCATGATTTCAATTATTGACACATAAAACTATTGATAATCATATGATGAACACCCAGATATTAGAAATGTTTATTTATGAATAACGGTAAATGTTTTGTATGAAAAACTAGTAAATATGAATAAATAATTCAAAACATTGATCATTTAGTTTAACGTCAAATTTATATCGGATATATCCTGATGAGAATTATGAAAATGGTAACTTTTGAGACGGCATATTCTTATTCAGCAATTAGATTATGTATATCTATATTCCTCTTATTATAAGCTTTAATTTAATTTAGAGACTATTAGGATACAATTTACTATTCTTAAATTATGCTCAGTTTATTAACTACAGTCTCCGAATTATCTTATCCCACCGGCAATTTATTTTTTAAAGTGTTCCCCACCCCCCTGAAAATTTTTTTTCCACCCCCAAATTACAATACTTTTCATCCCCTGTTTCGTCCAATGAAATGAGTAGTTTTAAAACTTCTATGTAATTGGTTAGTTATGTCTGGAAAGCTGTTATAAATTATCAGTACATGCCGACGATGTACATTTTAATCGTCATTATGGAGGACAGTAACGTTCCAAGTACAAGCGCTGTTGTTTCTCACGTAACGGAACTGGATGAAGTGTTTTTAACAACCTTGTTTCTGGTTGCGTTTCCATCGGTTGAAGCATTGAAGACGGCTATCATCAATTATGAAAGGTCGAGTTACAGTCATTATGTCGTGCGAGATTCGCATATTAGTCGAGATCAAAATTCTTATATAAAATTTGTGTGTTGGAGAAACGTGCGTAGAAGATCTAGCGGTTCGGCACAGCGTATTAGACGGAGGAGGTAATTTGGTTAGTGTTATTATAATTTGTTTCACGAAGCGCTTCCATGAATACCGAATGTCCGCCTTTCATATTTTGTAAGATTGTAGACGGCTACTGGAATGTCGTACGTGGGAATGTTCACAGCCACTCTTTGGATTGATCTTATATAAATGTTATCTGCTATTTCATGGTGTGATATGGTCTGTTTGATTTATGTATAAACCCAGTTTGTTTAAAAGACATGATTCATACCGCGGAGGCTGAGATTTGGGTTCTAGATTGAACAGGCAGGGCTAGGCACCAATAAAAACCGATAAAGAATCTAGACTGATTGTACAGATTTTATACGTCACTAG